TCGCCTTTTTAATAAGCCCAATTATTAAACCTAATTTTACGTGGTCCGGATGGTATGAATCAAAATGCAAATATTGTCCTGTTGCCGTAGGCTTCTTGTACATACTGGTATGCCAAGTGTCCGAGGACCTATCAACCATTACATCTAAGAACGGAAGTTTACAATCATTTTCAAATTCAATAGTGAATTTAATAGTATCACAAATGCTGTTTATATGCTCCTTGAACCTATTAAGCTCTGAAATGCCACTTTCCCACAAGCAAAAAACATCGTCCACGTAACGCAACCATAACTTAGGCTTAACCTCAGCTGTTGTAATAGCTTTATGTTCAAAGTCATCCATGAAGATGTTACTTAAAATGGGACTTAGTACACCTCCCATTGCCATGCCAGCCGTTTGGGAGTAAAAAGTATCTTCAAACTGGAAGTAATTGTTATTTACACAGACCGTGAGCAGTTCCATGATTGAGTCAATTGGTAGTTTAGTTCTCTCAGGAAGAGTGTCATCAATCATCAATTTTTGTTTAACAATCTCCAAACATGGGACAATAGGTACATTGGGAAATAGATTAGTCACATCAAAGCTGACCATTATCGTCTTGTCATTAAGAGTATAATCCCTTATCTTTTGTACAAAATCTTCCGAATTTCTTAAATGGGACGTTGAGTGGCCAAATAAAGGGGACAAAATAGGTAATAACCATTTGGACAACTCATAGGTAATAGGTCTCATAGGTCTGTGTAAATAACAATTACTTCCAGTTTGAAGATACTTTTTACTCCCAAACGGCTGGCATGGCAATGGGAGGTGTACTAAGTCCCATTTTAAGTAACATCTTCATGGATGACTTTGAACATAAAGCTATTACAACAGCTGAGGTTAAGCCTAAGTTATGGTTGCGTTACGTGGACGATGTTTTTTGCTTGTGGGAAAGTGGCATTTCAGAGCTTAATAGGTTCAAGGAGCATATAAACAGCATTTGTGATACTATTAAATTCACTATTGAATTTGAAAATGATTGTAAACTTCCGTTCTTAGATGTAATGGTTGATAGGTCCTCGGACACTTGGCATACCAGTATGTACAAGAAGCCTACGGCAACAGGACAATATTTGCATTTTGATTCATACCATCCGGACCACGTAAAATTAGGTTTAATAATTGGGCTTATTAAAAAGGCGAAACTAATCTGTAGTGATGAACAGACTTTTCAGCATGAGGTAGTAACTATTAAAAACCGCTTACTTAACAGTGGGTACCCTAAAAGATTCATAAATAAAGCCTTAAGAAAAATATCCAGCTCTGATACAAGTTTACCACCTAAAGATAACAAACCTCTGGCCACAGTATGCATTCCGTATATTAAAAACCTTTCGGAGAAAATACGGCGCGTGAATGCTAAGCAAGGTATTAGGACGGTCTTTACCTCAAAAAACACGATAAGAAGACAGGTATCTAAAGTGAAACCTCCTAACTGTGGTAATGGCAATAAAAACGTGGTGTACAAGGTCCCATGCTCGTGTAAACGTAGCTATGTAGGTCAAACTTCAAGACCGGCTCTCATACGGGTTCATGAACACATGAAAAAAGTTGATACACGTGTAACCTATGGTTCAAAAATATCTGAACATGTTCATGACACCGGGCATTGTATAAAGTGGGAGGAAAGCTGTATATTATACAAGGAGCCTAATTGGAAGAAAAGGAATATTATTGAGGCTTTGTTTATTACTTCAGATCAAGATTCATTAGCCAACGCATCCATTGATATCAGCCCGGTTTACAATACACTAATAGAGAAAGAAATTAAAGGATGCATAGAAAAATCTAAACAAAAGAAGATAATGCCATCAGCTGTTCTTGATAACAGAGTCCCCCCTCCCCCTCCTCCACCACCGGGGTCGTCAGTCGTGGTTAGGCGCTCACAACGATTACGTGAGAAGAGGAATAACCTTGAAAACGCCGCACGTTGATTTTGGTGCGGCGAAACGTCGGTGTTGAGAACTTTTGTCTAATATTTTAAATTTTGATTTATTTTTATTTTTATTTTTGTATATTTTATGTGCAATGAACTGTGTATGATTGTGACATGACAAGGACTACGTTCTCGTGACTTCAATAAGGTGAGTGATGCCCAACAAAAATATTATCATACTGAAGTATTGACCTCACCTAATATACCATGTCGTTTAAGAACTGAAAAAAGTAGTTTTTTGAAGGTACAAACTTGGGCCCAACTGTTATGTTTGATTATTGGGATTAAAAAATAAATGTCTGAGCTGATAAAACAGCTGATCTCAACCAGCAACAAAGCAACACAGGTCATCTCACATATATACACCCCCTTGCAATCATATTGAACTTAAAATAAGCAGAATTGTTACTGGCATTAGTGTTGGTTGCCATGGTGGAAATACATATGTTCATTATTTTTTAGCTTAAATACCGGTAATTAGGACGCATGATTAACCAATCCAATGACGAGTATCCCAAATATATAGAAAACAAAAAGTATTAAAGTGCTTGAAACGAGGAGAACGTTCGTCTTAGAGGACCCTCTCCACTAGAAGCCATTAAATGGTAGCAATACTATGTTTTTAATAACAATCATCTATTGTTATGGTTAATATAATAACAATGGGTTAAGCCAGTCTCTGTACTTGCCAATCAACAGATTGATTAATAAATTAATTGATTACCGATTGTCCTTGACATCGCACAGAGGTTCCATTGAGAACAGTCGCGTGTTCAGCTAATTTTACAATAATTTCAAGGAACAACAGGCGTTCCTGATTGATTTTAACATTACCACAGACCATGTACCAAGTTGTACATTTTCAACTGTATCATGTAATATAAACCGAAGGTTGGCTGTATCATGTAATTGATACCGTAAAATGTCAACAAATACCGTAAAATACCACAAACTGTTAGCTGGATCTTGTAATAAATAATGTAAATTGTTGGCCGTACCAAATAATAAATACCGTAAACTGTTGGCTGCATCTTGTAAAAAATAATGTAAATTGTTGTCCGTACCAAATAATAAATACCGTAAACTGTTGGCTGCATCTTGTAATAAATATCGTAAATAATTGTTTATTGTAATTAGAACCGTAAATGGTCATATATACCGTACATGCAATCAAATAGTAATGAACACGAACACCGTATATTATAAACCATATTATGTAACAAAACGGGAAATGGTTGACTGTGTGTTCAAATAAATAACGCAAATAAATACACATGCACAAATGAGCCGAATTTTGCTATTGTATAAAACTCCATACGTTGATTGCATCCTGTAATCTTACTTCTTACTAATATTATAAATCTGAAAGTTTGTGAGTTTGTGTGTATGTTTGTGTGTGTGTGTGTTTGTATGTGTGTTTGTTGCTCAATCACGCATAAACTACTGGACGGATTGGGCTGAAATTTGGCATGATGATAGCTCACATTCCCGATTAACATTAAAGCATATTCTTATCTCAAAACCCCTTTCGGGCTCCGCCCCAGTGGCTCTGTAGTTCCCCATGTTAATCTTATGATTTTTCATATTTAAAAGTAATTAATGAATCTTAACAGCTTTTTCAAATAAACAAGTTGGTTCTGTTCTATTATGTTCAACAGCATTAAAGTTACAAGAATTACCAACAGGGTGCAGCACTATTATTTTTTTTAATTTATGACAACAACTAATTTGCAACCAAGAGGTGAGTGAGCGTAGCGAACGAACTTCAACCTGGAGGCGAGTTAGCGTAGCGAACGAGCTAACCTGAAGGCAAGTGAGCGCAGCGAACGACCTCCAACCTAAAGGTGAGTGAGCGTAGCGAACGAACTTCAACCAGAACGTGATTGAGCCATGAGAAAGAGCTCACTTATGAAGTTAAACGGGGCAAAGCCCGCGGGTACAGCTAGTGCAATATAAACCGTAAGGCTGGCTATATCCTGTAATAAATGCCGTAATTGTTTGACTGTATTCTGTAATAAATACTGTACATGATTAACATTACCTTGTAATAAATACCATAAATTTATGGCTGCAGCCTGTAATAAAATAAATACCGCAAGTGCTAAACTGTATCATGTAACAAATATTGTAAATGGTATACTATATCCTGTAATAATATCGCAAATTTTCAACTTTAGTCTGTAATTAATACCATAAATAATCGATTATGTAATTAGAACCGTAAATGCGTGAATGATCGTCTATAAATACTGTATATGCAATAAATATGTGTACGTATATTGCCACTGTTGTAAAATGTAGTAAATGTGGCAACTGATTGACTATGTGGCCAAATAAATGACGTAAACGACCAATGAAAATCTATTAAACAACGGCGTTTGTATTCTATAATAATTAATAAATATCAATACAATGTTAACAGTATGTTTAAAATATACCGTAAAATTATCGATTGTCTCTCTAAATGAACACTGTAAAATGTCGACTGTGTAAACTCACCGTATTTGTACGACGGTGACACACCAGGATGCGTATTTTAAGGGGATGATGACCGAGAGATTAGATGTATGAGATGACAGCTTTGCTACTGCCTCAGATCAGCTGGTTCCTAAGCCAAAATTATTTACTCAAATCCCATCAATAAGCAAGGTCCATTTTAGAACCATCAAAAATCTAAGCTTTTCTTAGGATCGAACCAGCGACCTTCTAAAGGGCGAGGATAACCACTCAGCTATCACATTATTGTAATTAATAAATTATCTACTTCATCTCTCAACATACTATACCACATGGCCATTGTATCCACATTTACCGTAAATCTTCTACAGTATCCAATCAAACCCGTAATTTAAGTACATCCTCTTATCAAACTGAATTAATTAGCGTCGCAGGAATCGATGTATCGCGATGAAGTGAGGGGGTTGGAAGTGGGGGAGGGAATGATATCTAGCAAACAAAGAAATGTCGGAGGTTTTCGTGACTAGGTGAATAAAACGCGGGCCCGAGCTAGCAGTGCTTCAGTGGCTCGCGGACCCCTGCAGCAACGCGACGCACGCAGCATGACACTCGTCCTGTAGCGTCTACCATGTGCAGGCCTGTGGCGTGTGTGCGGGAGCTAGCGAGATTTTCTATCAGGTACGTAATGAGTTGGTACTGGCGTTTAGTAAGTTTTTATTTGTATCGAGAGGGTACGTGAGACTTGACGTTAAGGATACTGAAGTTACATGTTTTTGTTATACATTATTATTACAAAAAAGTTTTCCGACCTGTGATTTTTAAGGGGATATTTATAATTGTAAGAATGTGCCATTAGGTGCTAAGTTTTCCTAAATAAATAAAACTTCCACTTAAGACTATTAACTTAACCCATAAATTGTATCAGGGTATAGACCTGGAATAAGGCCAACATACGTAATTTCAAAAAACTATTTAGAATTACCACATATTAAAATGCTTTATTTGTTGATGCCGTATATTAAGAAACCATAGAATAATTAAATGCACGAGTAGGCCTGCCACTAAGTTTAAAAAAACATTTGATTTTATTAGGTACCTACTTCTAATACTGCTGCGGGGTAGTGAAAATATTGTTATGTAGGTCTCTTTAAAAGTTGAATGCAAATTTACACATTGCAATTTTCTTACTGTAGCCTGTCTATAAACACAAGACTATACAATAATAATAATAAGAACCTTAAAATCGTAGCTTTCGAAGTCATGAGGTATTTTTTGAGATTGGTAATGATAGGGAAACCTTCTCATAACTAAAATACTTGTTGAAAGTTTCATGATCATGATTTCTTCTGTATGATAGCAACACTTTGTATTTTAATGAATCGCTAGAGTAATATACATTTGCAATTCAACATAAACATAAATAGGCGTATCAGCATGGGAAATAGTTTTTTTTAGTGTGGAGTTCATGTATTACTACTGTAATAACTTCGATAGTAACTATTTCCATATAGGGTACACAACGATTTAACCTGAAGTACATCTTTTTAGAGGCATAAAACATGAACAATACGAAACAAATAAGGAATTTTCTCTCGGAAGGTTACAACCTTTTCTGCAATTGATAACTCTATCCCCTGAAAAGAATACAATGGTGTAATTCAAAGGTTCGCAACCATTTTTTGCTCCACTCCCCCATTTGAATCCTGAATTTTTTGACGCTCCCATCAGGGGGGACTTAACATATTAAGCTACATCAAATTTAATTGCGGCATTCTAATACCTATGTGCAATTAATTTACATATTATCGATAAGGCGATGTGATTAAATTTAAAGTTTTTATACCGCTACAATCCCAAGATAATTTCCTATATTTTTTTCTTAATTGTTAATTTCAATTTATTTTTTCTAGGACCGCACACGCCCCCTGAAATCCGTCCACGCCCTTAGGTGTAGAACCAAAGGTTAATTTACCAGTGGATATTGCCAAATATTCATTTCCACAGTCCAATCTTAAATCGTCAAAAAATGACTTGATAGTCAACTTACGTATAAAATCCACGTGACATGTTTGTAGGTTACACCAAAACGTGTATAGGCTTCCGTCAGATGCATCTGTAACTATATTGAGCCATATTGACTATGTCTCACCCGACATAAAGACGTCACACGCACGAATAACTCCAAGGATAGTCACATATAAACACGGAAAACTCTGAAGATAGTCACATATAAACACGAAAAACTCTGAGGATAGTCACATATAACCCACGAAAAACTCTGAGGATAGTCACGTATAAACACGGAAAACTCCATGGATAGTCACATATACATACGGAAATCTCCAAGCATAGTCACATATAAACACGAACAGCTCTGACTTTAGTCACACATAAACACGGAAAACTCCATGGATAGTCACATATAAACACGGAAAACTCCATGGATAGTCACGTATACACACGAAAATTTATGAGGATAGTCACATATACATACGTTCAAGAAAGTAAAATATACACGGGCGAATATTTTGCAACCGAATAATGTCGGTTGCGTACTTTCTATGTGTTTGTAAGCTGGGCTGAATGATATAGTTCTCCCCCAGAAATCAGAAGGTCACCGATTTGATCCAAAGAGAAAATTCCCCCACTTCAGCAATTCTGCAGATCAAGCGAATTACTATTTGCCTGATTGGATTTTTTTGTACTGAAATATTTCCTTAAACCTGTTAGATTTATTCTCTATTTAAATAACATTAGGCTTAAACAGTATTGTTTGCTGCTACAGGGAAGGTGATAATGTGTGTTTTTATTTAAACTATAGGTTGTCCAATAGTCGAAAACTCGACCAAAAATATGTAATGTACAGCATTTTTTATTTTCACCACACACTGTAAATAAAACATGCGACTGCAATTTCTTCAATTTGTTATGATTTTCTGTTTATATTGCGTTGTTATTTCATCACCAGCATAGCAACCCATAAGGTCCATGTTGGTTTTTTTATATATTTTAAATTCATTTTTGTGCTTATTTTTGAGCCTATTTTTATTTACGAAGGGATTTTGCACATTCAGGAAAATATCATTCCAACAGTATGCGTCGATTTCTCCTGCGATACACATGAGCTAAGAACACAGGTTTTAAAGAAACATGCTTGCCTATTAATATATAGCAGTTAATAAAAATCTGTCTTGATCAAAATATATCCATAAACAAGCAAACTACAACAGTTTACCTTTTTCTCTATGAGAACAACCTAAGACCTTTGAATGCAAAGTTTTTTGGTTTTTTTTTATTTTTCCCGTAACATTTAAGTATACAGCAACGCTTCAATATACAAAGTATTTCGTTTTTGAATCTCTCCGCACGATGGCTGTAAAATAAATTCGACATTTTTCAGTTTTAATGGTAAAAATGTGAAAGCACCAATTTTTGGGAAATTTCAAACCCCTATAACACACTGCTTCCCATTACCTGGCCTTGCTGGTTTGCGAACTCGTTCAAGTTTATCCCGCTTACACCTAAATCGGACTAAAATTACTTGGGTTATTGTATTTACGGACACACAAGATACATATATAAAAATTTTAACGAATAGTGTTTTTGATCTCCGTGTACATCAAAATGTAAAATTTAATCGGTCCCGGATCTAGGTCTTACCGTGACACCTACGGTATTAGTATATTCCCTGTATGGGAATTTCGCTAAAAGCCGTAGCATAAAAAATTTAGGTACACGACAAGGCAAGGAGGAATCACAACAATTACTATCTCGTTTTGTACAACAGCAGGCAATGATTCGCGAAGTACTCGTCCCATTTTCAGTAGTGTCTTGATCACGTTTTTGCATGGGCAAATTCAATGTTGCCAGGCACGGGACCAAGACCTTACAATTGTTTCATGCTCCTTGGTGTCGGCATGAACGAGTTTTTTTCACATTTTAAAAACTGTTACAAACGAAAAAGCGAACTCACAAACTACAAAGGGGTTTCTTTCGCATTTTTATACTTACTTAGCGATAACATTTAAAAATTGCAAACCTATGATATAAGCTGCAATTTTTATACGTACGTTTAATATTTAGATTGGATTGATCTTATGGAGATTTGATAAGCACTTCGAATAAGGATTGTCAATAATTTCGGTTTGATTTGTCCAGAAAAACCCATTCACAAACTGTCTAAAAAAATATTTTATCACCTTCAAGAATTATTAGGTGACTTTCTGAAATTGAGAACAATTTTGGCGATCTTCTAAGATTAAAAAAATGGAGACTTAAATGCTCAGAAACTATTAGTCTAATATAAGAGGTACATAACCTGCATTACAAACTTTCTGTTGGAATATTTTCCGTTTTCAATTATTATAAGTTTCCTGCAAATTATTTAGTCCTGATCAGGATACGTAATGTTCATTTCAGTCACCAAATAAGAGTAACAAAAGTCCAATAGAAATTTTGGGGTTTCTTTCTTGGATAAGTTTCCAAAATATATAGGCCTACAAGTATTTAAGAAAATCTTACAGTTCACCGTATTATTAATATCAGACTTATCAAACCACCAAATAAATAGGTAGTGCATTTCTATACTCAATAGTATAACCCAGTAAAACCGCTTTTGACAACTACCGTGACGGCGTCGAACGACATCTTCGCATGGACTTCACATTTCAGAGTTAGTATCATATACACTAGTTCTCCATTTTACTACCTCTTGTACAACATAAACAGTGTATCTTTTGAAAAAAAGTCACTGCTAAAAAATGAAGGAGAATTTTTACTTTGAATACATTACTCTTGCATGATTTTTTGTAAACATAATTACAGAGGGGCAGAAAATGGCTACAATATAATATAACGACAAATACAGTGACGTAGTCTAATGGTGACGTCATGGTCTAATGATACGCAAGTTTTGAGCGACGAACGCACGCAGGAAAGACATTTCTTACGCACATTTATGCAGCAACATCAACGTTGATCACATAACGTTGATGTTGCTGCGTAAATGTGCGTAGGTAATATCTCTACTCGGAATTCGTACTAAAGTCGTATCAATTTAAACATTATATTGCGATGGTTCCTAGGGTTGTTATATTGGGCCATGCAGAATGCCAATTAATGAAAAAAATATAATCCTACATCACCTTGGAATCATAAACTCAGATATTATAGCAGTTTCTTCATTCAGGGTCTGACTTAGGGGAGGTACAAATGAGGCATTTAGTTCAAAATTCCTCCGTGAACAGCGCTGTAGTAGAGAGCACTTTGGCAATAAACGTTTACTAATCGCAAAAATAGTTCTGTTCATAAAATAAAATTATAAATGCCTCAAATTCAATTTTACTATTTTTAATTATAAAATTAAACTATCATAACCTAACCGAACTAACCAAACTTGCTGATAAATATAACAAAAGTTTAGTAATCGGAAAAATAATTCTGTTTATTAAATAAAACTATAAATTGCTCAATTAACATTTTATAATGACTTAATAATAAAATTAAACTGTAATAACCAAACCAAACCAACCAAACTTGCTGATAATAAAAAAATCTTGGACAAAAAGTTAATGCTACTAGCGGGATTCGAACCCGGGACCTACAGTATACCAGCCCGGCACGCTAACCATTAGACCACCGAGGCCGATGGCTACCGAACGTTTTGTTACGGTAATGGC